GTCTAAGTGAGAAGACTTTATTATTTTTAGCATTGCAGTTATGAGTCTAAGAGAAAACACTTTATTTATTTTTAGCTAAGCACTGATGAGTCTAGGTGAAAACACGTTATACATGTAACACTTATCACTGGAATCTAAGTGAAAACACTTTATGTCGAGTGCCACCATCTATCAGTATTCACAGTACTCTGATTATTTTCAGCACTGCAGTGATGAGTCTAAGATTCAGGAGATCATTGTTAGTGATGGGGGAAGTAAGGACAACACAGTCAAGAAGGTCAAGGACTTCTCTCTGAAGGTCAACATTCCAGTCAAGGTCATCAACAGTTCACCAGGTACAATGTGTAGGGTCAACCAGTACGTAATCTTGATAATTCTCTTTTAAGGTCATTGGGTTTACTGCTTGATATTTCTTATAATACAATGGATTCATAACCAGTACATCATATAACATGCTGTGAATTAAGTGCTTCATGTATTCGTATTGGTGCATTAGAAAAGTAAATGAAGGATCCAAGAACTCCCCAGTACTGATAATTATGTTTCTGAGTTTAATTAAATGCCTGTACTATACTTCCTATTTTTTTCTTTACCAGGGAGAGGATTCCAGCAGAAGGCCGGAGCAGAAGCAGCCACGGGAGATTTACTGTTATTTCTCCATAGCGACACTCTGTTACCGCAGAACTTTGACAACGCTGCAGAGTTATGTCTAAAAACTCCGGGGAACGTAGCTGGCTCCTTTGTCTGGAGTGTAGACCTGGACAGGTAGGTCTGTCTGTCTGTTTGTCTAGCTGTCTGTCTGTTTGTCTAGCTGTCTGTCTGTTCTCCTTAGCAGCTAGATCATAACTGCACAGTTTGTAGAACAACTTGTGCTTATTAAATAACCGAAGTATTCACTTATGGGTTGTAACAGTAAACATAGAAATCACTCCACCTCCCAAAACCACAACACTAGCATATCATAGCAAACAAAAATTCTGAGGAAAAAATATAAGATCAAAGCTCTTAATAACTGAATGAAATGATTTACAATCATGTAGATTTTGAGAATTTTCTTCTGATTTTAGTCTACTTCCATCAAAAGAATGTAGTTCCCCCCAAATCATTTACTTTTGATTTTCTGGGCAGATTTAAGAATGAATACTCAATTTGTGTAGTTTTCATTGTTTCATTCAAATAATTTTTAAAATTTCAATGTTAATATTGACATTTTTGTTGTAATTGTGAGATTCTAACCAAACCTTTTTCAACGCTTGACAAAATACATACTTTAATTAAATTTAAAGATCTTCCTATTTCATTCTGATTTTGATTTCAGTAAAGACAGTTGGTTTTTTAAGCTTCAGATGAAATTTGTGGAATATTTAACCAACAGAAGAATAGAAAACTTTGGTAATATTGTTAATATATGATAATTAGAAGGAAGTATTCTGAAATGAGCTAGATGAAGCAAAAATGAAAATAAAATACTTAGCAGATTTTATCATGCTAATTCAGTTCTTATTATCTTTTATATGGTTTAAGATGGGTAACTGTTATTTTTTTTCTCTTTCTGATGTTTTTGGAACAATGGTTCATAATTATACACTTGATCTAAAGCACAGTCTCAATTTTTCATATATAACATTGTTTATAGATAAATTTTTATTAATAATTCCATGTATCAAATAATGAACTCTATCTAACAATAATTTTCACTAGTAAACATTTGCAACAAATTAACCTGACATGCTGAATGTTGTAGAATATCCATTTGGAGACAATGCAATATTCACAACTCGTCACATGTACGACAAAATCGGAGGATTTAGAGAAGTCTATCTACTAGAGGATGTTCTATTGGTAATATATATACGACATCTTGGTGTTAAAATTTAGAACTCTATTGATAGATAAGGTTTCTTCCTACAAGGAATGGTATTTGTTCAGTGAATTTAAAAAGTGTTACATTTAATGTTATTTATATTTATATAATTTTTTTTTTATATTAAGTGGCAGAAAACACTGATTACAATTGAACTATTGTTTAAAGCATCAAGAAGCAGTTGACCTTTGACATTTAATAAAAAAGTCTTCAATATAATTATTATGGCAGTGTCCATGTTTTGCTTTAGGAGACCCATAGTATGTGTCTGATCAAAAAGTAATTTTTAGGAGGTGCACAGTGGCACTATGTAACAAAGATTCTGTAAAGTGTCATTAAATTTCATTTAGTTGTAGTTACGGATTAATTAGAGATGTGTACCATAAAGCATAACAGACGGACAGACATCCCAATCAATATATACCCTCCCACTTTTTAAGCAGGGGTTTTAAAAAATCTTTCATTATATAGATGGCTTAAAAAATGCAAATTTACCTAGTGTAGGAATTGATTGTATTTATTGAATAATCACCAGTAATCCATTTTCATAATACTAGTAAACAAGAGAGAAATATGAATATCTGTGGATGATTTCTTCAAGTTAATTTTGTCTTCAGGTTGAGGAACTGTGGAAGAAAGGACATATAGGTATAGCACTCGGTGACCCAGTTATTACTAGCGCTCGCAGGTGGAGAAAATGGGGCCTCGTAAGGGTAAGTGTCTGTTTATGGAGGTTATGGAGCTTTGAACAGATAATTGTCTATATGTAGGGGTAATGGGGCCTCATAAGAATAATTGTCTAAAGATAGAGGTAATGGGGCCTCATAAGGATGATCGTGTAAAGATAGAGATAATGGGGCCTCATATGAATAATTGTCTAAAGATAGAGGTAATGAGGCCTCTTAAGGATAATTGTGTGATGAAAGCAATAAGGAGACCTCATAAGGAAAATTGTTTAAAGATGGAGGTAATGAGGCCTTGTAAGAGTAAAATGCTGTGGACAAAGGAAATGGGGTGTCATATTAGGTGTCACATTATGCCTCTTTAGGACTAATGCATGTAGCATAGAGAATGAATCATCTAAAGGATTTATGTCTTATAAGTCAGAAGGAATGCGATGTTAAAAGAAGTTTTATCTGTAGACAGAAGGAAGAGGTCATCATAAAGGATAACATTTTGTAGTCAGAGGAAATGAGGCCTCAGGGGATTATTGTCTACAGATTGAGGTAATACATGTAGGACCCCATAAAGAATAGTGTCTGTAGAAAATAAGGCTTCTTTAGAGTGAGTGTTGCAAAAAGAAAAGGAGCCACAGAGGAAATGGGGCTTTATAAAGGTTTGTATCAGTAACCTGTAGAAAATAAAAAAAGATCTGTAGCCAGAATATTTCTGCCTCATAATGGTAATGTATAGACAAACTGAAGCCTCTTTATAGAAAATAGCTAGGGTCACATAATGAATAATATCATTCTGTAATTTTTTTAAAAGTGGTAGTGTCTATAGATGGACCACATAGGGGCAGTGTCTGTAGAAAAAATATTCTCATAAGTAGTAGTTCCTTTAGTCAGACGATATGGGGTCTCAAAAGGGTTAATGTCTGTAGACAGTATAAATGGGGCCTCCAAAGGGGTATTTGTAAGAGGACCTCTTATGGGGAAGTGGATGCAGATTGAGATATCGGTCCTCATAAGGATTAATGTCTAGGGACAGAGATAATTAGGATGAATATCTGAAGACAGAAAAAATAGGATCTCCAAAAGTGTAGTGTCTGTTGAGAGAGGTTATAGGATCTCATAACTGATAAGGGAAATTATCTAACAAATTGAGGTAATAGCACCTTGTAATGGCTTATACAGATTATTTTCTGTTAACTCAATCTTGACAAAGAAGACACGGCGGATGTGACCGGTTGCCAGGGATGTTTACTTCTACTTGGCACCTGGTTCCGCTTTGGTTTTTTTTTAGGGGATTCTTAATTGCTCAGCTTCTAATTTGCATTTTTTAATTTGATTATGAGCTTAAATAATTTCCATTATCTTCATAATATTTCATTGTACAAAATAATAAAAGGTGTCTTCTCAGGGACTTTGTCTCCAGGTTATTTTCCCTATGTATATATATATTGACAGTTGTATGGTGAGAACCAAGTAAGTTGTAAGAATTTGTGTTCAAACCATTTGTATAGTATTTATACAATAAAATATGTTCAAACCAAAGACATTAAGAAATACATGTACTTATGATACATGTACTTTCATATACTGTTCAACATGACAAATTAAAACAAAAGTTTCCAACAGTACATTAAATATATGTTTAAATATATATTTTTAGATCACAGGATTAAATCGAGTGATTCTGCAGGCTCATTACCTTGGTGTATCTACGGAAACCCTGGCTCTGTGGTATTACGGAGACAAACTGAGATCTGTCATGGCCGCCAACAAAAAGAAAGACTGAGTGAATAAAGAATGTCAAATATTGACTGAATGAATAACCAGGAAGTTTAATAGTTTAAACTATGTGAATTTAAAATACTGACCAAGTGATCAAAATCAAAACAGGGACTATAAGTTTTTAAAACTTGTTTCTAAATCCTTTTTTGATATTTATATACTATTTGCCTGTACTTGCTATTTTTCTGCTACGATGGATTTTCTATCGGATTTAACAGACATTGTCAGAAGCAACTTGGGATTAATTTCTCAGCATACAAGTGCAAGTTAATTATAGTATTTTGCACATCCTTCTTCAATGAAGAAACAACGATTGTATTGTCATACTAATCAAATAACTACTGAATTCGAAGATTTTTTTATTAAAGAAACTTTCATTTATGCATGAACATGTAGTTTGACGGTGTAAACGTAGTATTCACACAACCTAGAGGGAGGTGGGGTGGGGTTATGTTGGGGTGGGATGGGGTTATTTTATATTAAATTGTGATGCAAATCTAGTATACATACATGTACATGTATAATAGAGACATTTATCTTTTTAACAACTTAACAATATTTTTAAACACATGAACTACAACTGAAAATTACATACATGTACATGATTTTATCTCGAGACTCTTTGTATTGTATATTGTATAAGTAAGTATAGGTTAACAATATCGGAAACAAGGGCAATGTTATGACAGATACTGATACACTTTGACACGGGCTTTGTCTTGTTCCACAAGGCACAGATTGTCGGACATGTCCACAGAGATCCCGTATGGTTGTGATATCCCATCATCCTCTGTCAGGATGTAAGACAGGAAATCCCCATCCTTGCTGATCAGGTGTATGGCGTTATTGGCGTTGTCTGCGATGAGGATGTGACCCAGACTGTCGGTAGCCACTCCATGGGGATTAAACGTGGCTTTTAACATCCTTGACGGGACATTCCCCTCATATTTAAATTTAAGATATCCACCCTTGTTCAGCACGACCACTTTACATAATTCCCAATCAGTAACACAGATATCCTCATTAACATTCTCACAGACAAGACTTGGACGAATAAAAAGTCCCTCCCCGTTCTGATCTGTCTGGAATTCCTGGATCTTCCTCCCACTGCTGCTGTACTTAACCACTCTCGCTGTATATAAAAAACCCATACAGACCAGGATATCACCTGACCTGGTACAACACAGTCCTCTAGGGCCATACTCAGCATTTATAAGTTTTGTTTTCTGTTTATTGGGTGACACTTTGTAGATAACTTTATTGTAGGAGTCAGAGTAAATCAGACTTCCGTCCTGCATCACAGCCAGACCAGATGGTTCAGTCTCAGTACTGATGTTATCCAGCTCTGTCCCTGACCTGTCTATCAGTTGTATGCCAGGACCATCACCACTGATGTACGCTGATCTGTCATCACGACAACTCACGTGAAATAACTTTTTCATTTGAGTTTTCTTTTTGCTTATTTTTACTGAACGCCCCAATACTCTTTTGTTGGATGTACTCCCCCTTGCAGACAAAGATGGCAATATATGTTGTGAGTTTTCATCAAGTGATTTAACATAGTGAACCTTACCTGCCATGAACTTGCCAAACTGATGCTTATTTTGAGATTTGTTGATCTGACCAACTGTAAAGAAAGGCATAACAATATCAAGTTTGGATGGAAGTTTTAATTGCTTAAATATGTCAGGATTTTGTTTTCTAAACAAAATTAGTTCGGCGGGATGACTTGACTCTGTGAGAGTTTCAAATTTCTCAATCAGTCGATCCAAGTTTTGTTCAAATCTCTCAGCCTCCGCTTTATGTTGGGATATTTCCTCTCTATTTTTTCTCTCGTCTTTCTCAGATTCCTGCAAGGCTTCTTTCAAAATGACTCTGATATGATCTATCAGATCCTGAGCTTGTTTCTTCATTTTTTCTCGTACGTTCTCATGGGCGCTCTTTATTTCATTTTCTCCCTTTTTGAAATCTTTTATTCTCTGAATAATCTCCGACTTCAACCGTGTCTTCATTTTAGACAATTCCTCGGCAGTTTCGGCCTTTTGTTTCTCGTAAAGATCTTGTATCTCCCCGATGGCGTGTTCGCCGTGTACTTCCTTAATGCATGTAATACAGACAGGGACTTGGCAATCTTTACAACAAGCTTCGTACACTTTAGATGAGTGGACCTCACACATTTTGATCTGATTGGTTGGATGAAGTCTCTCAGACAGACGGACGATGTTGTGTCCAGAGGGAACTTTGCTTTTAAGGTACTTGTTTACTCAGAAGGAAAAAAAAATCTACTGATGATAATTAAAA